GTGGCATAAGGGGTCATATATCCCGTTTCTGCCGCCGCCATCAGCAGGATGAACGACGTGGTTACTCAGCTTACGAGAGAGACTTTGCCCCGAGACCCGATGAATACGATCCCGCACCGTATCCATCCACCTCCCGTCATCACCCTCCCCTCCACGGTCTCATGCTGGGCATCATCCTTCTCATTCATCTCACCGCCGTTCTCTGTCACCGTTTCGGCGTACGTCATCACCCCTGCGTCCCGCGCCGATCTCTCTGGACTTGGAAAACTATAAGGTGCAGTTTTTGGAGGGGAAACTGCTTGTTGTCGGAACGTTACAACTCCTCCGTCTCGTCCAGCTAATTTACTGCCTGTTTGTGTGGAAGATGTTTTTGTTGACGCCCTTATAGACACTGGAGCTGCAATTTCGGTAATTGATCGTAAATTGTGTTTTCGCCTGCGCAAAGTGCAAACTCCTTATGGCGGTCCCATGTTATGCGGCGCTAATGACAGTCCAATTTGCCCGACCGGGTTGTGCACTGCTCGTGTTCTCATCGATGGAATCCGTCATCACATACAATTGGCTGTGCTGTCTTCGTGCGCTCATCAGATAATCTTAGGCTGGGACTTCTTGTCAACGGCGTCTGCAGTAATTTCGTGTGGTCGGCCCCTCATTCGTATTATGGACACTGAGCTTTCTTCTGCTGCCGACCTTTCGTCGCCCAACCTTGTGACAGCTGCGGATTTCCTCCTGCCTCCCGGACAAGAACGTGTCCTTACGATCAAGTCACGAGACATTCTAGATGGTGACGCTGTGGTTGTTCCTTGCCAGCGCTGCATTTTTCGAGGGACCATCATCGCATCTTGTTTAGTGCGGTTCTCCCGTGGTTATGCAAGCATCACAGCCTGCAACACGACGCCAGAACCAGTTCTTTTGCCAGAGGGGACCACTGTTGCCAGCATTACCGAAGAAGCACCTCTTTGTGTCGTCATTGATTCATCTGCTTCGTCATTCTCAAAGTGTATGCCAGCGGAAGATGCATTTCCTGCTCTCAAGGCCACTTTGAGAGCAAACTGATGCCTTGTTAGCGTTATTAATGAAGCACAAAACTTGATTTGACGTTTGTTCCGAAGGTCTGGGTCAAACAACAGTGACCGCCCATCGAATCGACACCGACGAATCCCGTGTGATTCGCCGCCGCCCTTACCGTGTGTCGGCTTCTGCACGCAAGCTTATAGAAGAACAAGTCAACGACATGCTCGCGCACAACGTCATCACGCCTTCGACAAGCGCATGGTCTTCCCTGTCGTACTAGTGAAAAAAAAAAGGACGGCTCGGTACGGTTTTGCATTGATTACAGATCACTCAACAAGATCACTCGTAAGGACGTCTACCCAATGCCTCGCATTGACGACGCTCTTGATACTTTACAAGGTGCCGAGTACTTTTCAAGTCTCGATTTGCGCTCCGGTTATTGGCCGATTCTAATGCACGAGTCTGATAAAGAGAAGACTGCATTTGCTACGCCAGATGGGCCCTTTGAATTCAATGTGATGCCTTTCGGCCTGTGCAATGCCCCAGCCACATTCGAACGGATGATAGACACGGTACTGCGGGGATTAAAATGGAACACTTGCCTTTGCTACCTGGACGACATTGTCATCTTTTCGTCCAGCTTTTCACAGCACCTGGAACGGCTAGACGAAGTCCTCACGTGTTTAGCTAAGGCCGGTCTCCAGCTCAACTCTAAGAAGTGTCGGTTTGCCAGTCACAGCATCAAGGTATTAGGTCACGTCGTCAGTAAACATGGCGTTGAGCCTGATCCCGACAAGGTTGCCGCGGTACTGCACTTTCCTACACCAACAGAAAGACCTCCGCAGCTTCCTTGGAGCGTCGTATTTCCGCCGCTTTGTACTTGATTTCGCTACTATTGTGGCTCCTCTGCACAAACTTCTGACCACGAGCGCACCCTTTGTCCGGACGGATGACTGGGAAGTCGCTTTTCACACCCTCAAGCGATGCCTCACATCACGGCCAGTGCTTCGCCATTTCGACCCTGCAGCACCTACTGTGCTGCACACTGACGCAAGTGGACTTGGCATCAGTGCTGTCCTTCTTCAGCGGAAGCACGCTTCCGAAGAACAAGTCGTGGCCTACACGAGCCGTACTCTGTCACCTGCTGAGCGAAACTACAGCATCACTGAGCAAGAATGTCTCGCCATTGTGTGGTCCGTACAAAAGTTTCACCCTTACTTATACGGCCGGCATTTCACAATAGTGACTGACCATCATGCTCTGTGTTGGTTATCGTCTCTCAAAAATTTGTCGGGACGCCTTGGCCGTTGGGTACTACGATTGCAAGAGTTTGACTACAGCGTCACATATAGGTCGGGTCGAGAGCACCAAGGTGCCGACGCTTTGTCACGTTGCCCGCTCTCGCAAAGCATTGAAGTGTCACCTTCCATCTGTTCGTCATCGCCCACCAAAGTGACCAAACTGACGGCTGCTGCTTCGAAACAGTTAGTTGCCTCGACAGACCTTCTTTCGTCCACAGATCTCGCCTCACTCCAACATGCCGATACCTACTGCCGCACAATCATTGATCGGCTCACTGGTTTATCGCGTGCTCCAAACAGCCGCCTAAGATGACAACTTGCCCGTTTCAAGCTTCAAGAGGGAACATTATGTCGGCAAATTACCGTCCTCTCGGTAACCGATGAGTTCCCGTCATTCCTCGCTCACTTCGTCTGGAAGTTCTACAAGTGTTTCATGACAATGCGGCAGCTGGCCACTTAGGGTTCCACAAGACCTACGACCGCCTCAAGACTCGCTGCTTTTGGCCTGGCCTTTCCACTTCTGTCGCCAAGTACGTCGCTTCCTGTGCGTCATGCCAGCACCGAAAACGTACCACGTCTCCTCCCGCGGGGCCATTGCAACCACTGCCGTGCCCATCCACTCCCTCTAAATTTGTGGTCATAGACTTATACGGACCTCTTCCGCTTACGCCAGCCCAGTCACCGTTGGATTGTTACTGCCAAAGACCACCTTACTCGCTACGCGGAGACGGCAGCTCTTTCATCTGGTGCTACCTCTGAAGTAGCCGATTTGTTCCTTCGCGCCATTATTTTACGACATGGCACACGGCATGTGCTCCTTAGTGACCGTGGCAAGACATTTCTTTCACACGTCCTTGCTGAAGTCTTACAGGCCTCGAACACCATTCACAAGACCACATCAGCGTATCACCCAGAAACTAATGGTCTGACTGAGCGTTTTCACCGAACTTTGTTCGACATGATCTCTATGTACGTGCAACCGGATCACAAAAACTGGGACACAATACTTCCTTTCGCCACGTTCGCATATAATACTGCTACACAGCGTACGACGAATTTCAGCCCTTTTTTTCTCGTGTATGGCCGTGTACCGACTTTTGTTCTGGACACCACCTTTTTGTCCACATCTTCCAATTCATCTTCATCTCTCCCGGAAGAGTTCGCCGCGTCGCCCGCTGCCGTGAAATCGCCTGCAACAACACTGCTGCCATTCAGGACAAGAAAAAAATCGACATTGATGCGAAGCGTCGAGTTGTTGTGTTCCGCCCAGGCGACGAAGTCCTTTTGTGGACACCTGTTCGTGTACATGGGCTCTGCGAAAAATTCCTTCACCGGTATCTCGGTCCATACACCGTCCTGGAACGAACATCTGAAGTCAACTATCGCGTTGCTCCTGTCAGCGCGGCTCCTGATCACCGTCGCCGCCACACCGAGATCGCCCACGTCTCTCAACTGAAGCGATATATTCGGCGTCCCAACCCTTTCTAACTTGCTGCCCTCTTTCGCGAAGGGGGGAAAATAGTGTGAGCGCTGACTATGTACTTCTTCATCTGTATGACCAAACCATTGTAGTGATCATCATCGTATGTCACGCTGGCTTGGCTGCTTCGGCTGGTTCATCTGGATTGAAAAGATAACCTGGTTGCTGCCGTACAGGACGTGGTCTCATAATATATATATATATACATATATATATATATATATATATAATCTGATTTCCTGACGAAGGCCGGACCCCGGCTGAACGGAATAAAAGTTTTGCACGTCCGTTCATTATTTTCAACATTGAAAAACACTCTATCAACTGAAACTTTCTTGATATATATATATATATATATATATATATATATATATATATATATATATATATATATAGACACGTGTATATATGAAAAAGAACGACGATAGGAATGTTTTGTAGATTTCAGCTAGTGGGACAGGGGGTTTTTCGAGACGACAACGAAGCAGACGTCTTGCTGTACAGCTAATCCTGAACCCGCTCTTTATACACAATATATATATACAGGGTGGTTCAAGAAATTTGTCCAATATTCTTTAAAAATCTGGAAAAGGTGCTATTTGCTCGCTGTCTTAACAGTTGCTTTTTTTTGTGGTGGCAGACATTTAAAGAGAATTGAAAACATCATTTGGAATGGTAATTAGGAAAGCTAAATTATTTACTTTTCAATTAAGGGGTTGGGAAGTCAAATGGGAGAATCAAAGAACTTTATGCAAACCCATTGCAGGTTTGAGATTTCGCAAAAGCAGCCTCCGGTAATAATTGGAAAGTTATGAAATTCTATTAAATTCTGCAGCAAAACTGAAACCAAAGCACCGATGAGTGCAACAAGCAGACGACTACAATGACGTCACTGTTCAAAATGTTGCTTACAGAGGAGCACTTTTTCCCCGTTCATTAAGGTATGTGCGTCATGCGTGCCATAATTGCAAGTGCAGCCCACACAACGAAGTCGGTTAATAGTTGATATAAGAAAGCTCCCTCATTTTGGACATCTCAGACGAATATGGCACCTGTGCTCTTTCGCGTTTTGATTCTGCCACAAAGTTGGGAAGAATTTCACTCTTAAAGGTAAGGCTTAAGGGTCCCCCAATTTTTGTTGGTATGGATAGTACTATTCATAGTGCTGCAACCCTACCAACAGGCCATCTCCGAAAATATTTCACCTTGTTTTCTTCCTAAGCAAACTTCGCCGTTTTGGAAGGCCATTCATTTCCGTCGCCGTCCAGCTGTGCACCTTTGCTGCGATGAAGGAGGAAGTCTGCGTCTGCGTCGACCTCGACACGCCTCTGTCGTCAATCCACAAGGATCCGATCGCAATGTCCACTCTTTTGCTGGGCGGCATGACCGCGTCCGTCTGTGTGCTCCTGGTCGTCAGGACGGGCATGGGGCCATGCACGTCGCAGCTGACAGGCTGCTCCTCTTCGTCCTGAAGTGGGAGGGTGTGTCGGCAGAGAGACGAACGTTACTACCAGAAAAAAAAGAACTAGCAGAAATAGACGGACATCATGGAACAGAATAGGCACCCAACTCCTGCACATTCTTTCCACCCAACTCCACTACACTCTTATGATGCTTACACCGGGCCAAAATGACAACCTATAATGCCACCGCACCCAAAAAACGTGCTCAAAAGCAGTTGGCTTGAAGTCGCATTCAACACGAATATGCCTTGTCCCGTCGAGACACTTTGTGCACATTTATGCACACCGCTTGTTTGTGCCAATTGTGTCAACTAGTGGCTATGAAAGAGCCCGACATGGCGAGCATTAGATATATAAAACCTGCTGCATAATAAATATATTACTTTAACTTCATTTCGTAGCGAACACTTGCATATTATGACACTGCTGAAGGCGATGCAGCATCCAATGAGTTGTTCGACATGCCTTTTTCAATGAGTGTCCCAAGTATTTTTCTTTGCTCGAAACTAACATAAAACAAATGTGCACCATATTTCTAGTTTAAAAGTTGGTTCTATTGCAAGAAAGAATGTGAATAAATGTCAGATAAGTAGAAGTGTGTACTGAAACTTAATTAAGATTAATTACTATAAAGTGCATACATCGAGGTATTGAGACGTTACTTTTGCTGTACATAAAATGTTGAGTGTCTCGAAATAATGCTGTCTAAATTTGACACACTTATAGACAGTTCATAGGTGGCGGCTGCAAGGGTCAGTTAAATGATTAGATTTTCCTTTTACTGAAGCATGATGACTTCCTTATTTTAAGTCATCAAGTGGTGTAGTAACTTCCTTAGAACAATTTGATACAATAAATTGTCTCTGGAACCACTGTACGGCACACGATAATTGTCTATTTCATATAGCCATGTACTTACTGAAAATGTTTGCACCTACATTGCAAAGTGCACAGCCTCTAGCAATTTGCTTCATCGAAATGTGACCAGTGAGCCGAGATCGAATTTTCGTATTTCAGATCAGCAAACTGGCACCACAGCCACTTAGCCACAGCGAATACTCCAGCAGATTAGTCAGTGGCAGATACCTCTTCGATGCACCTACGATATGTTCTCCAAGTTTGAGCAATGAGCGAAGTGTCTTAGCAAAACAAGTTAGAACGTGGATAGTTCGGCATTTCCTCTTATTGTGACCATTCATTTGGTTTAATTTTGATTTTCTGCAGTATTATACATCGAGCCCAATATTTGAGCTAGTGATATTGTGCTGTCTTAGCATATGCTAGACAACTAAACTTAATGATCTCTACTGAAAGTTTTGTTTCAGTGCATTTCCTTGTGCCTTAGAACTAAAGAAAGCATACGCCCGTGTTTTTCAAAGTGAACTTTCTATTTTTTCGTCATGATGCACTAAAAGCAATGGTGTCGTGTCGGCTACTGAAAGCCACACAACACCGAGATTGCAGGTTCAAATCCCAACCACTGCAGCAGCATTTTGATGGAAGGCAAAGGCAACAACAACCCTTTCGTTGTAGTGATGTCATCACATGCATCTTAGCATGGTCAGTGGTGGGCCATTCACGCAGTTAGTGCATAACCATATTATTTAAAGCAGCGCCAATGACAAAACAAGCAGTAGACACTTACAACGCTTAGAACGCCCTTAAAAACTTTTTTAGCACCCCTAACAAACTTGGGAAGATATGCGCTGCCATTCACAATAAACTTGAAAAAAGCCCTACCAATCAGAAATGGCAATGTAGCACGAAATATCATAATCAGTTTGTGTTATGCGTTTCAGGTTTTGTCAACAACATCCCCGTCACGTGTGGGCTAGTTCATATCAGACAGACGGGCCGCTGCTTAGAGCGCATAAAGATAATCCGCCTTAGAGCACATAAAAACAATTAGAGTGCCAATTATGGGTCACATTTACGTGCACACTATGAGGTTTGCAAGTGCACGTCTCTTTCTCACAAAACTAAAGTTACGTTTAGGCACAGGTATGACGTGGCACGAAATTACGGGAGCACTTTGCATTAAGAAAGCTGGGGTGGGCTGCATCGGCTCCCCTTCAGTGGCCTCGTTGCGAACCAAAATCGGTTTTTGAAGGTGGGGTAGACAGATGCTCTTAGGCTTCTTGTGTTTCGCTGTCATACCTTGTTGCTGCATATCTGGTATTAAAACTGTTTAACGATCGTTTTTGTTTGTTTGCTTTTTCTTGCCTTTGTGCATGTTCACAAGATTCTCACAGGGTGGTGATCGTGCAGTTCAATTATGTCACTTTTTTGTATGTAAGTGTTGCAAGTACCTCTTGCCCATCACTTGTGCTGCGTTAAATAATATAGAACCATACCAACTAGATCGGATGTATGCACTAAGGGTCAAACAAGGCAAAATAACTGCCAATATGGATACGATAGTTAAAATAGCAGAGGAGTAAGTTTTACAGAGATCTGTACAGTAGCCGAAACAATCATGACCCTAATACTATAAGAACTAGCAGTAACCTAGATGACACCCCACTAGTAATGACAGAAGAAGTCAGAAAAGCTTCGGAGAGCATGCAAAGAGGCAAAGATGCTGGTGAGAATCAGGTAACATCAGATCTGCTGAAAGATGGAGGACAGATTGTGTTAGAAAAACTAGCCACCCTGTTTACGAGGTGTCTCCTGATGGGAAGAGTACCAGAGTCTCGGAAGAACGCTAACATCATCTTAATACATAAGAAAGGAGATGACAAGGACTTGAAGAATTACAGGCCGATCAGCTTGCTCTCTGTAGTATACAAGCTATTTACAAAGGTAATTGCTAACAGAGTAAAGAAAACATTAGAATTCAATCAACCAAAGGAACAAGCAAGATTTCAAACAGGCTACTCAACAATTGACCACATTCATACTAGTCAATCAGGTAATAGGAGAAATGCTCAGAGTATAACCAACCACTATACATAGCCTTCAGAGATTACGAGAAGATGTTTGATTCAGTAGAAATGTCGGCCGTCATGCAAACACTGCGGAATCAGGGCGTAGATGAAGTATATATAAACATTCTGGAAGAAATCTACAGGGGATCAACTGTTACCATAGTGCTTCATAAAGAAAGCAACAGAATACCAATCAATAATGGTGTAAGGCAGGGGGACACAATCTCCCCAATGCTATTTACCGCATGCTTACAGGAGGTTTTCAGAAGCCTAGAATGGGAACAGTTAGGGATAAGAGTTAATGGAGAGTACCTTAGTAACCTGCACTTCGCCGATGACATTGCATTGCTGAGTAACTCCGGGGACGAATTGCAACTCATGATTACGGAGTTAGACAAGGAGAGCAGAAAGGTGGGTCTTAAAATTAATTTGCAGAAAACGAAAGTAATGTACGACAACCTCGGAAAGGAGCAGCGCTTCGAGATAGGTAATAGTGCACTTCAAGTTGTAAAAGACTGTTTCCTTAGGGCAGGTAATAACTGCAGAGCCGAACCACGAGATTGAAGTAAGTAGAAGAATAAGAATGGGGTGGAGCACATTCGGCAAGCACTCTCAAATTATGACAGGTAGATTGCCACTATGCCTGAAGAGGAAGGTATTGACAGCTGCATCTTGCCGGTACTTAGCTACGGAGCAGAAATTCGGGGACTTACAAAGAGGGTTCAGCTTAAATTGAGGACGACGTAGCGAGCAATGGAAAGAAAAATGGTAGGTGTAACCTTAAGAGACAAGAAGAGAGCAGAGTGGATTAGGGGACAAACGGGGGTTAAGGATATCATAGTTGAAATAAAGAAGAAGAAATGGACATGGGCCGGGCATGTAGTGCGTAGACAGGATAACCGCTGGTCATTAAGGGTAACAAACTGGATTCCCAAAGAAGGGAAGCAGGTTAGGGGGAGACAGAAGGTTAGGTGGGCAGATGAGATTAAGAAGTTTGCAGGTATAAATTGGCAGCAGCAAGCACAGGACCGGGTTAACTTGCGGAACATGGGAGAGGCCTTTGTTCTGCAGTGGACATGGTCAGGCTGATGATGATGATGATGTTAACTAGCCCAGCTGTCGACCTTACTGCTATTCAAAACCTTACTGAGTGCAAAATGCTTTTGGAGGGTGGTGGCGCGGCTACAGTATATAGACTGATAATAAAAAGAAGTTGGATTCTGCTTACCACTTAAGTGTGAGCATAAGGAACTGTTTTTTTTTTTTATTGCTCTTACCACAGTGGCTCAGTAACTACAGTACACAGCTGCTGAAACAAAACTACACCAGTTCGATCCTAGCCCCAGCAGTCCCATTTTGATGTAGGCGAAACGCTATAGCAGTTTATTACAACCCAAAAAAGTGTTTCTACTAATAGCTGCCCCTCCCATAAAAAAATTTTTATAAATGCTCCATCCAACATTGCATACTTGTTTTTGTGGTCACCACGCTTCAATGTGAACTCTTGAAAGTAACAGACACAGAGATCTTCAGTATGATAATATTGCCCTGTGCATTCGGCATGAGCACCTTTAGGACAGGGAAATCGTTGACCACGAACTTATCTTCAAAGCAGTTAACAGTAGTGATGTCTGAGAAAAGGTTGTACTGGCCAAGTGTTTCACATAGTTGACTTTCCCACACAGAATCACAATTGTGTAGCTCAAAGATGAACAACCTATTACATTTTGTCAGGGATTCTGGCACCTACTCAGCCAAACCCAATGACTTATGTAATGATGGCTAACCTATAATTGTTACTATGCACAGTATTTAGCCCCCCCAAAAAAAGTGTTCAAGTGGAAACCAACTATCACGACTGTCTTTCTCAGATGAATGGCAGGCACCATGAGCAGAGCTTACCTTTCTTTCTTGGGTAGCATTATAGTTAGACGCCTGTCTACTGAGCCATGTAAGGGTACGTTAAATAATCCCAGGTGGTTGTGATAATCCAGAGCCCTCCACTATGTTATATCTTAGTTTGAGCCATTTTCAGACTTCAAACACCATAAACCAACTGTTTTTGTCAAAGGGCCAGTAAACAGCCTGGCGGTACAAAATTTCTAAAGTAGAAATAACTGTGCATGTATACAATGTAAACATGCTGCTGCATTAACTTTGCAAATAATTGCTGTAATATGGAAGTTACAGGGCTTACAACGACCTGCCTTGGCTGGTTTCAGTTTTTTGCTTGTCTTCCCCACCTTATTTTCTCACCAAGAAGGAGTAGATGCAAATATTTGTCACGACTATGCCCACTTCATCAACGATACTTCAGCAACACGTCACTGGTGCACAGCCAACAACCAAGCAGGGCCTTTCTAACATGAGCACAAGCCGTAGCCACGCGGAAATGTGAGGAGCACCCTTCCACTGGCGGGGAAGTAGCGAGACACCTCTTAATCCCGGAGGCTTTCATTCTGGCAATACCACTTATCCCGGTAGTCCCAGGCTTTTCAGAATGGCTGAGGGCAGCACAGGAAAATTAAAATGTAGACTGCGTGGCCAAAACTGCATCACTGCAGGGCCAAGGTGCCATTTCATAGGGCAGGGGTCCAATCGTCAAGCTCAGGGGTGCATAATGTAGCCCATGGGCAAGATTTCATCCCTGCACGTACAAGAAGCTTTTGGGGCAGGCTTTGGGGCTCCCACAAAATTCGAGAATTTTTAAAGCCTGCCCCAAAAGCTGTATGTCAGACAAACCTGCTGGCACCCACTGAACGTGACATGACCAAGAATTGTGGGAGTATCCAAAGCCCTGCACACCTTATTCGAAAACTCTCCGCTCCTGCTTGACCCAAAACGTGCCTATGCAAAAAGCTTTGGGGACCCTATACGAAAACTTCCTAATATTGTACTGCAGTGATTACACAAGGTGACTAGTTTGTGAGACATAAATATGATCCAAATTACTTGATCATCAGACCGATCAGTTACCACCTATCAACTCAACAACTTTTCACACTTCGGGCAACGAAGTTGTTGCCTCCAGGCACCCAACTTGATACAGCAACACATTTTGAACGCATTCTAGCACGAGAGGACCACCACTTCAAAGCACTCACTGACCGAACTGATAATCGTCAACCACTCCGGCATTGGCGGGTACACGTATCCGCAACGTCGCGCCACCAGGGCGACACTCCCGGCTTCCAGGGAGTCCCTGCACGCCTGGCACAGCGCGAAGTCCTCGACGTGCTCTTCTTCGGGAAACTCGCGAGCCAGCGTTTGGACGTGTCGCGGCGACACCTCGGAGACGTCGTGGCGGAAGCATAGGCGGTCGCACGCGCTGCACAACTGACCCAAGTCGTCGAGCAGCAGCTTGAGTCGTCTTCGCTACTCGCACCTCGCGACCACACCGCCGTCGAGGGCGTCCTCTCCGATGTCTGCCGCCGATCCCGGCGAGCTTTAGCCCGACGCTGCCGCCTAGACGATGGTCTAACGCCCTCCGCCAGTCGACGTTCCCTGCGGCGTGCGCGCTCGGCGGCCCGCAAGTGCGGGTTCGCTCGACGCCTTCGCCTCGCCTCGGCATCGCGTTCCCGTTCGGCGGCCCGTACTTGTGGGTTCGCTCGACGCGCACGGTGCCGTTCAGCGTTCCGCCGCTCGCTGCTCTTCCGTTTGGTGCAGCCGCCTTTGGCGTGCATGCGGCAGCATTGCGTTCCCGCTCGGCCGCTTTCTGTTCCTCGCTCAGGTTCTGCCGACGCCGTCGGGCTGCTTCGGCTCGCCGTCGCTTGTATTCGCGCTCCTCTTCTTCCGTGCGCCGATAGGTCGTCGCGAACATCCTACCATAATCCTGCGTGACCTCTTTCAACGCCGTTTGTAAAGATAGAAGGATATTCCCCCAGATAAGAGAAGGCCTTCGCAAGCGTGCAGTGGAAGTGAAGCGCACGGTAAACGAAGCAAACCCACAGAACACCCGCAAAAACTGTTTCAAAGCAGTAGATTTCGGAAAGAACACACGAAGAGGGGAAATAAGTGGTCCCGCTTGGCTTGGCTTGGCAGCGCGTAAACGTGGTCTCGGAGCAGCAAACTAGAACATGTATGTCGGTCTGAGCCAAATGTAGAAGAAAGGAACTGGTGTTTATTGCGATTATATTTTACCATCGTGGTTACGGTAAATATTTCTCCTTTGCGAGGGGCTCTAGATTAAATTTGGCCATCCATGGTTCTCTCACGCGTGCCACAGAGCTCGCTCTCAAGATGCAGCCACCGTGACCGAAAACCAGAGGCGTAGGCAGACTTTTTTTTTTTTTTTTTTTTGGGGGGGGGGGGGGGGTGGGGCACTTTCATAAAATGGTCATTGTCGCTCTGTACACCATGGCGAGAAAAAAAAAATTTGGGAAGGCGGGGGGTCCGTGGTGTGCCCCCCCTTTCGCTACGCCACTGCTGGGAACTATACACACAGCCTCTGCAACGCAATATGCGGTCGAAAAGACGGGACACTTTGGGGAATTGGAGTTTTGGGATTGATTACAAGAAAGGTTCAGGACAAAGACTGTACGACAGAGAAGCGCTCCCGGTGGTACACGAGGTGCAAATGCGTTTTTTTTTTTTTTCGTGGTTGCGCACAAAACATATAGATTGCACAAGGGACTACCCCTTTCGGAAACAACTAGGATACTTCTTTGGGGAATGCAATTTGTGAAACACCAAGAATGCTTCGGCGGAAGTTCAGGAGAAGGCGGAATAATGAAGTGATGAAAAATTCTTACGACAAGGGATGTCGCTTAAGCCACCATTTTGGCAAGTGGACTAGTCTTTTTGAGTTGCAGTTTTGAAGAAAAGTCCGCTGGTCAAAACACTAGCTCCAGCAACACCAAGTTTGAGGGATTCTTTGTAAGCCTGTTTAGGAGACTCTTTATGCTCAAAAACATGCATCAGTACTCTAAAAAAACTAACCCTCCTCTCAATTCTGTTCCTCTGCACATCTGACTACCTGCTCTGAAGGGTATTTTGTTGCTGTCACCTTTTCAGTCCAAAAGGTTCACTTTTGGCTACTTCTACAAACTGAGAGCATCGTCATTCCGTAACGAAGTTGTTTGCCTCCTGCCAACACTCCCCAGTTCAAGCATGAGCTCGCAATCACTTCTCTTCCGTGTACATTTCATGCACCATGTAGATTCCGCACATGCCACTAGATGGTGTTTCTGCAGCTTGTGATAATGGCAGCGCGGCTCTCCTTCTGCCACTAGATGTTCCCACTCTTCCGGCACCTAGCACCCGGCTACGGTAAGATCCCTACAATGCAGCAGGTTCTAGGTGTAGGGTAGTCACTAGCTTCCTTAAGGAAAAGACAGCAATCTGACAACCTCTTCCTAGTGCGGGAGGAGGAGGGGGAGATTCATATTAATGAGGTGGCCTGGCCTTTCTGCTGTCTTAAGTTCCTTCACTTCCAACCCACCCATGACACCATTTTAAGTTGCAGGAAGTAGTATTTTTACTAAGCGAACTTCTCGTTGGTCAAGTTGGAGTCCGTTCATATTATGACTGCTTTAGGTGCTAAAGAGACAGACCACAAGAGAAGGCGACGGAATGTATTCAGCACTGTAAACTTCTTTATTTTACAGAAACCCCGTACCTATACATACATGCCTGTGCAACAAACACATTCAACTGTGGTGTAACGCACACTCAATAAACGTTATCTTGGCTTTATACACTGTGGTGGAAGCGTCGCAAACGTGCAAGCTGTCCTTTTTGCCGATACACATCGCTTCCATACTTTCTCTTACTTTTGCATCTTTACTTTTGGCTGCAATCCATACATCAGGAGAAGTATGGCCCACAAGAGCACGAAGTGCTATTTTTAATGTGCTTTAGGTAAGTATGGGCCCTCCTTTATCTTGCTCTACATTTGTTTCATGTTCCATGACTTGCTTGTTTATACACACAGCGAACAATTTGTCCTCTTAAGGGATAGTCGCATGAGAGGAGAACTTCATATACCATACCTTCTGTGCACCTCAAAAACATGGGTGACTGCTCATAAATATGCTTCACTAGATGAAAGACCTTTGCAATAATGACACAGACACAATGAACATAATATGCACACAAGATGCACACTCGTCGAGAAAACCGTGAGCACCAACAAACGTAAATGTGAGAGATGTGATGGTGACTACAGTGCAAGAGATGTGGTTGCAGTCGATGCCTTGTTCGCATCATAACGCAACGCCGAAAGTTGTTCGCAAGAGTAGGCAAACGGGCATGTTAGTAACTACATCTTTGGTTGGCAGTGCTATGACCGACCTAGAGAGCGAAATAAGGACAGAGAGCTTATTCCTGTTCCTTTTCTTCGCAAACATTGAGCCCCAGATGGTGGACATTTTTAGAGCTCTCCACTAAGGCGTCTCTCACAATCACATCGTTATTTCGGGAAGTAAAACTGCGGATATTATTATATTATTCATCTCATGTTGGTGATTGCAGTACTATTTAATAATGCTATACTACAATGTGGCACACGAACACAGATTACCATCATTGAAGGCAAAATTAATAGAAGTGCTGCATCCACAGTGGGCAGTTGGCAATAATTTTTAAAAATAACAAGAAATGTGGTTTCAGTGAACAGTTGTCACTCTCAATAAAAGTACAACAATTCAAACGATGATTGCTGTAATAGTGGCATTTTGCTAATTTTGTAATGTTTAATAATTTGTTATATACAGGTTCAACAAGCAGCAGCGCATGCAAAAGGCCTGTGCTGCCTTCTGCTAATACTATTGCTCGCACTGCAAACCACCTGTGAAGATCCTCAGTGCCACCAACTTGATCAACGTAACTAGCAGTCCCCATTTCTTCTCTTCATATGACATTGCGCCTAAGTCTGCCTATTAAGGAATGCCTATGCGATGCCAGAGTGGCATCAGATAGGCATTTCCAAAACTGTGTCTTTATTCCATGCACTGTCGTCACAACATTTTCCGAGCTCCTGTCAAGTTAGCATCGTTGAGGGCAAAATCAATAGAAGTGCTGCAGTCTACAATGAACAGTTGGTAATAATTTTTTTAAATAACAAGAGACGCTTGCAGTTCAACGACAAAAAAAAATAGTAGCCAGAATATGGTTTCAGCGAAGAGTTCTCACCCTCAATAAAGGTGCTATGATAAATTCTGTACAAGTTAAATATATATTCATGCACAAATATAATTACAAGTTATGATCAAATGACAATGATACCAGGTGTCACAAGCAGCACCTCTATTACGAGAACTGCAGCGAACGGTTCAGTTCCTCCATGCACTCAATGTCACAAGATGAACAACTAAACACGAATTGACATGTGTCCAAATGCAAGCGCTTAATGGCCCTTTCTTGTGGCCATTGAGTACAATTTAATCCGGCTCGATGCCAGCATAGGCAGTCTCTTATCCTCACAATGGGACGAGTGGTGTTGAAGTGATGGCCCACAGTTGAACACAGCTGGGCGAATGTTACAACTGAACAAATATCGCACATGAGCAGATGTTGCACAGATGTTGCACCTGAACGAATGCTCATTGACGAGTCGAAGCTGCGGGTCGTGGACCACTCACATTGCCCTTGCGTGGCCGGTGCTTGATGTACCTGCAAGGCAGCCCCTTCGAGCGAGACACGGAATGATGGGACTGCAGGGCTTTTTTGGTTGGGAACGCCAATTGGCACATAAACTGACAGACAGTTACGTGAAGCATGATGTGATGGCGCACAAGGTCGTACTTGAATTTGTAATTCCTACGGTGACAAAACGGACACTTCAATTTATAGCCGACGTGGGCACCCATGTGGGCCTTCGTCGTCTTCCAGTCCTCGCACGGCTTGGAACACAGGCCGCACAGATACGGCTCGGGCCACGGACACACCTCTACATGGCCGGCGAGGTCTCGTAGGTCAGCGAATTCAGTCAAACAAAATGCGCACATGTAAAGCAATTCGCTGATAACTCGATGGTGACAGGTTTGGCCACATTTGCTGGAAGTATAGTCTGGTGTACAGCAACTTCAGCTCCTCGCTCTGAGTAGGCGGCACCCACTGGTCCTGTGGACGCGAACGATGACGAGTCCAGTGACTCGTCGCTACTGCCCGATGCAGGTCCCTCCTGCTGGGGAGAGTAAGGACAAGAATTTGGCAATGACTTGCACCTCTTACGACTCGAGTTTTCTTGCCTGAAAAGCATTTGAATCACCACAAAAAAATGTTTGTATGTGTACTAAAATTAGCAATAATCACCTTGGAACGCGCCTTGCACGCAAGACGAGAAGCGTCTCCAGCTAAAAAGCATGGATCTTGCACCGTGGTTAATAAAAACACGTTTGAAAACTACTTTAAGAAAGCCGTGAAAGAACATTACGAAAAAACGAAAAAGAAAATGAATATACACCCCTTAAAGAAGAAAAACCTAACGAATTTAGCAAAATGCGAAGAGACCCCCGCGTACTTTACAGAGTCGACACAATTCGAAGTCATCCCAGCAGATTCTATGCAGTCAGATCTCCCATTGTGGCGCGTCTCACTTCTCAAACGTAATCCAAAGGCAGCTTGCCATCAGCTTAATGCATGCAGTAAGCGCAAGTGCACCAAAGGCGAATTGCAAACACATACGGACAGAAACGACGCAGCAAAAGTCCGAAAAAGATGCGCGAGACACGCTGCACACATGTAAAGCTCATCGTGTTGGGCACCGCTATGGATGGAGCTCGAGCCCAGCAGACACAAAAAAACAAGCAAGAGAAAACGCGCATGAGGGGCACGTGATGGTGTTCGGCCAATGGGAGCTTCGAGCATCGGGGGGGGGGGGGTGCTAGAGAGGAGGATAGACGAAAATAACAATAGATGTCATTACTTTTACTTTATTCAGGGGCTTTACAGAAAACTGCTGCTCACGCACTCTATACACATGTGGCCGCAGCTGTGCATTCACACAGTATTACAGTAATTGACTGACATGTAGAGTTTAACATCCCAAAACCACAATATGATTATGAGAGATGTCGTAGTTGAGGGCTCCAAAAATTTCGACCACCTGGGGTTCTTTAA